CCCCATACGGTAAAAAAATACATTTTTCCTGGCCAAAATATATTTCAAATATATGGTAAATATATTTTGTATTTGTGATGCTCCAAAAAAATATATGTTTGAAATTGAAAATATATTTCTTTCAAACCAAAATACATTTCAAAACAAAACTTTGGTACCAAAGGTTCCAGTCAGCACTGCTGTGGCCATAACCCAGAAGTAGAAAAAACATAATTTCACCATAAACTGGGCATGAGGTGCTCCCCACAAGATTTCAGAGAGATGAATGAAAATAATTATTAGAATAGTTGTCACAGACCCAAGGACCTTACAAAAAGACCTGGAATCAGCAGGCACAATTGTTTAAAAAGAAAAACAATAAGTAATGAACTCTACCACCATGGCCTGTATGCACCAGACTCCATTGCTGAAGAAAAAGCATGTTGAAGCGCATTTAAGGTTATTTGACCAACGTTTAAACAAGGCTGTGAAATACTGGGAGAATATATTCTAGTCAGATGGGACCAAAATTGAATTCTTTGGATACCATAATGGTTGGAAGTCAAACAGCACTGCATATTAGCCCAAAACACCATACTGAGATGTAGGGCTGGGCCATATTATACCGTTCACGGTAATACCGGTATAATGTTAGGCAACGATAGGAAAATGAAATATCGCGATAGAATATGAGTAAAACGCGCATGCGCAGTGCCTTTGTTTTCATACGCACATGGCCGATTGTTGAGTGAAACAGATGAACCAGAATTGGTTTGTAATAATGGTGCAACTTCAGTGATGTGGAACTGGTTTGGTGTTTGTCCGTCAGATACACGACAAAGCACATTTTTTTGCAGAACATGCAAGCGGCCGTCGTTATTGTCGTATTTGTCGGACTAAGATGCTCTTAAATCTGGGAGTAATCTGGGTCCTAAACGCCGTATCCTTCAGGTCAAACGAACACTGCAGCATCACCGAGAGTTAACTGTCTAAATTCTTTCATCTTTAATAAAACGATCAGCATTGCTGCTTTACCAGGTGTAACTATGAAGTTTAACTTCCAGGCATCCATGAAAACAAAATGTACACATTACATTTAACGGAGTTAGAAGTTAGCAGGAAGCTAGCGGAAGTTAGCTCGCTAGTTTCGCTAGTTACCTAAGCATGATATTGCATGTTCTGACTGAGAGATTTCTGAAAAACATCAAACGTACAGCTCTGCTATCACTTCCAACATAAATGAAGACAGGAAACTAAACAGCAGTGACGTTTGTAGGGTTACTGAAGTTGGGCTAGCTGGTATATAATTATATGCTACGTGCTC